TGTGATTAGTAGTATTATCATCCCCCTGTTCCTCATCCTCCTCCTCTGCTTCAGCATCATCATCATCAGCAGCAGCATCATCATCAACAGCATCATCATCAGCAGTAGCAACATCATCATCACCCTCCACCTCCTCCTCCTCCTCCTCCTCTTCCTCCTCCTCATCCTCCTCCTCCGCTTCCTCCGCCTCCTCCTCCGCCCTCCTCCTCCTCCTCCTCCTCCTCCTCAGCCTCCTCCCCCTTCCCCATCATCCTCATATCCTCCTCCTCCGCCTTCCTCCTCCTCCTCGTCCGTCTCCTCTTCCTCCTCCTCCTCACCTCCTCTCCCCGCACCCTCCCCGCATCCCCCTCATCCCTCCCCTTCCGCCCTCGTCCCGGCCTCCTCATCTCCCCGCTTCCCTCTTACCCTCCACCCTCCTCCTCCTCCTCCTCCTCCTCCCTCCCCTCTCCTCCGCATCCTCCCACTCCGCCTCCTCCTCCGCCTCCTCCTCCTCCGCCGCCTCCGCATCCGCATCCGTCTCCTCCTCCTCCTCATCCTCCTCCTCCTCCTCCTCCGCCTCCGCCTCCGCATCCGCCTCCGCCTCCTCCTCCGCCCCCTCATTCTCCTGCTCCTGCTCCTCCTCCTCATCCTCCTCCTCGTTTTTCTTCTTCTTCGTATTATGCGTCTGAATATCCTTAATATTATTAATCATAATAAATATACGACCACCCTTCGGGTGATAAGGAGGTGAGGGGGGAGGGGCCAACGTCGCACTCGATCGATCTCACTATCGAACTCACTACCGATCTCACAATCGATCTCAATCGATCGATCTCACGATCGATCTGATTATCGATCGCACAATCGATCTCACAATCGATCTCACCATCGATCTCACAATCGGTCTCGCTATTGATATCACCATCGATATCACAATCGATCCCACAGTCGATCTCACATTCGATCCGACTATCGATCCCGCTATCAAACTCACAGTCGATCTCATTATCGATCTCACATTCGGTCTCACTATCGATCTCACTATGATTGTCACAATCGATCTCGCAATCGATCTCGCATTCGGTCCCACTATCGATCTCACTATCGAAGTCACTTTCGATCTCATTATCGGTCTTACATTCGGTCTCACTATAGAACTCACTATCGATATCACAACCGATCTCACAAGGTCTCACCATCGATCTCACTATCGAACTCACCATCGATCTCATTATCAATCTCAATCGATCGATCTCACAATCGATCTGACTATCGATCTCACAATAGATCCCACAATCGATCTCAAATTCGGTCTCGCTATCGATCTCACTATCGATATCACAATCGATCTCACATTTGATCTCCCATTCGGTCTCACAATCGATCTCACTATCGATACCACTATCGATCTCACAATCGATATCACTATCGACCTCACTATCGATCTCACATTCGACCTCACTATCGATCTCACTATCGATCATCGAAGTAAAACATCAACATCATCATCACCATACTCACCATCAACATCATCATCATCATCATCATCATCATCATCATCATCATCATCATCATCATCATCATCATCATCATCATCATCATCATCATCATCATCATCATCATCATCATCATCTGAGGCACCCGACGGGGCACCGAAACGGCACAACCGGCCGGGACCCGCGGGCCGCTCCGGCGCCCGAAGGGAAGACATTTGGTCCGGGCCGCGCCTCAGCCACAGGAGACTTTCTCTCGCCCGCCCACGCAGCTTCGCCTCGCCCGCACGCACGGCACGCACGAACACGAAACCGAATTCGATTTCCCGGTAGGGGGGCTCTCCGTTCCACTTCGATCTCACCCCCTCACCTCCAATTATTACTATTCGTATTCGTCTTAGCATTATTCGTCTTAGTCTTATTAGTAGTATCATTCGTCTTATTAGTATTAGTTGTGTCATTATTGTGCTAGTATTCGTATTATTTCTATGATTAGTCGCAGTCTTATTGTTATTATTATTATTAATATGATTATTAGTATTCGTCTTCTTATTACTGGTAGTAGTATTAGTGTTAGTCTTACTCGTCTGATTAGTAGTAGTAGTAGTAGTAGTATTATGCTTATGATTCGTCTTAGTATTGTTAGTAGTAGTGTTATTATGGTTCGTATGATTGTTATTATGTTTGTCGCAGTATTATTATTATGATTGATATCCGTATTAGTAATATTATTCGTCGTCTCCGGTTTCTTATTCGCATTGCAATTATTATTGGTAGTCATCCTCATCCTCCTCATTCTCCTCCTCCTCATCACCCTCATCCTCCTCCTCCTGTTCATCCAACTCCTCCTCCTCATCCTCCTCCTCATCATCGTCCTTCCCCTCCTCCCCCTCCTCCCCCTCCTCTCCCGCCTCCACATCCTCCCCCTCCTCCCCCCCGCCCCGTCTCCCCCTCCCCCTCCTCCCCCATCATCCCCCTCCCCCATCCCCATTGCCGTATCTCTCTTCCTCCTCCTCCTCCACCTCCTC